CTCCTCTGGCAAGCCGGTAGGTCGCCTGGGGGGGCAGCGGGCGTGAGAGCTGTGAGAACGCCGGGGCAGGCGGCACGGCAATTGCCCGAGCGGCTCTGCTGTGGGAAGAGGCTTTTGAGCATCGCGCCGGGATGCCGGGCAGCCGGGGATGGGCACGGTTTGTGCGGCGCATCTGCTTGTGTGGGAAGCGAGCAGCAGCTGAATGGTAGGAAACGAGTCCCTGGGGCTCCCTGCTGCAGGTTTCCGCGACAGGTCCCGGCTGTCCGAAGGATGCTCTGGGTGTGATGCCCATCACAGGGCAGCGTTTGGCTTTCAGCGTGAGCGTGGTGCGTCTCCTCGTGCACTCTGTGTCGCAGTTGGCCCCCGTGGCTGCACGCTATGGGTATTGCAGGTGTCCAGCCGGTGTCAAGGGCGCTGGCAGGAGATGCTGTCTGTGCTGGGAAAGCCAGGAGCCATTTCTGCTCCAGTTAGATAAGGCAGGGACAGGAAACTCTGTTCTCCTGGAGAATTATCACTGATCTGATCCCTGGTCTCTCTGGGAGCTGAGTTTTTCCTTAGAACACTTGGGGAGCCTTTGGCTGGGGGGAAACCATGCCAAGCTTTCCGTGGTCCTTCTCCAGCATCCTGTCTGAGAGCTCTGCTGCCGTGGGGATGAGTCTCTGCCTCCCCTGTCCCATGGCAGTGCCACCGACACCTTGCCCGTGCCACGATCTTTGCTCAGCACTTCTGCACAGCTTGTGAGCTAAACGAGGCCAAGCGTTCCGGGAGCGCTCTCGCCACGTTCAAGCCACGTTTGCTGCCTTTACTGGAAATGTGTTTCTGTGGGCTGGCGGGGAGACCACGTCCGCTCGCACCCGGCGTCTCCGCCGCCAGCGCGAAGCCTCTGCCCCGCTCATTTCTGGAAGGAGGAGGCTCCGAGACGCCCCATGCCCAGAAGCACTGACACGAGGGTTTGGATGGAGACGGGGTTTATTTCTTGCTGAGCGTCGGAGGTTTCGGTACCGCTTGTGCCGGGACATCAGGCGGGTGCTGCAGCATCTCATCCCTCCTGCTTCTCTTCCAGCTTGGACGGCGGGGAGCTCTTCAGCCGAATTCAAGACAGGGGAGACCAGGCGTTCACAGAACGGGGTACGGAGCCCACGGGGACCTGGGGTTTCATCTTTGGACCGTTTCTTGCTGTTGACAAGAGTGTCCCTGGTCTGGTCTGTTCCCTCAATCACTCTTTTGAACCCCCGGCAGGGTTTTGCCCTTGGGGAATGAGGAGTGAGGGTGCAAACATCCCTGCTTTTCTCGCTCACTGGAGAGCAGGGTTAGGGGATGTTTTCTCAGCTGCCCTGTGACCTTCCCATCCTGGTCCAGCATGGCAGGAGTGCAGTGACCTTCAGAAACACCCACCAAAAAATGAAGTTCCAGGGACTGTGGTTCTCGTAAATCTCATGAATCTCATCCCCTCTGTTCCCGTGGCTGGGAGAAGTGTCCTCACAACCCACACCCTGAGCCCATTGTCCCCTTGTTTTCCCATCCCAGGGGAACAGCTTTCCCAGCTGCTTTCCCTGCAGCGTTGGGGTCCCCAGCAGTGCTGGGAGCCAGCTCACCCCCTCCCCAGCCTAGAGCGAGCCCCCCTTTGGGGTGTGCCTGGCTGGGTGTTGGGGTGGGGGGCTGGAGCCTGCTGCATTCCTTTCCTGGGCGTTTCTCCCCCGTTTACTGCAGACTCCTGTCCCAGGGGTGGGTGCTGGGGGGACACGACCCTGATTAGAAAGGGGGGACCTTGGGGTAGAGGAAACCCCTTTGGGCTCAGTCAGGCTCTTTGGCCCCTGGTCTGCAGAGTGACCCAGGGAGTGGTGCTTGTTTTCACGTGCTCGTAAAGGTTTCTGATGGGGTCTTTTTGCTGCTTCAGAGGCTTCTGAGATAATGAAGAGCATCGGGGAAGCCATCCAGTACCTGCACTCGATCAACATTGCGCACCGGGATGTCAAGGTACCATGCTGCACGCTCGCCCGGTGGTGCTGAGCCCCGTGGCTATGCCGAGGCTGCTCCAGCTCTTCTGCTCACCACTTCTCCCCTGTGTTTCCACAGCCAGAAAACCTCCTGTACACCTCCAAGAGGCCCAACGCTGTGCTAAAACTCACAGACTTCGGCTTTGCTAAAGAAACCACCACACACAACTCCTTGGCCACGCCGTGCTACACGCCGTACTACGTGGGTAAGTGGCTGGGGGGGGCTGAGCTTGTGGGTTTGCAAAGCTGGGGGCACAGCCAGGAGGTTTGGATGGTGCTATGCACAGCCCATCACCTCTACATCCAGCCCGTAGCATCGGTCGCAGCGTGGTGTTGGGGGCAGCTCCTGCCTGGGGTGCCTTGGCGTGGGGGCTGCATTGGGTGCAGGCGGGTGCTGTGCAAGGAAGGCAGCCTTCCTTGTGCCGTCCTTGGAGGTTCGAGGTGGCAGCTCCACGGGATGGTCGGATCCCTCTCGACACTTTGACTCAAGACTTTATTTTTCTCTTTACCAGCTCCGGAGGTGCTGGGTCCAGAGAAGTACGACAAGTCCTGTGACATGTGGTCCCTGGGTGTCATCATGTACATTCTGTAAGTCAGCGGGTCCCTCTCCATCCAGCCGGGGTCGGAAGGGGGGATGTGGCTTTGGAGCCCATCTGTGGACTGGTGGGACTGACCCCTGCTCCCAGCACAGCCCCGTTCCCCATGGGCACGGCTGGCGAGGGTCTCGGGGCAGCGCGGTGACTCTGGTCCCCTTCCCGGCGCAGGCTGTGCGGGTACCCCCCCTTCTACTCCAACCACGGGCTGGCCATCTCACCTGGCATGAAGAAGCGAATCCGAATGGGCCAGTACGAGTTTCCCAACCCTGAATGGTCCGAAGTGTCGGAGGAAGGTAAGCT